TCAAAGTTTGATGCAAAAACGCATGATCGCACCGGCTCGCCTGGTGCGTCCCAGCCTGGGTTTTCTTTGTGGGCGATTTTCAACATCTCTGACGAAACGTCTGCTGCGAAACGCGTTTTAAAGCGCCGCCATTTCATTATTATGCATTTTTTATGCGTTTTTGCATCTTATGCAATGCAGAAAACACATATTGATGAGAGGTTGTCTGTGCATGTCTGTGTCCGTATGTTCGTCTGCATCGATTTTTATCTCGAGACCTACAAAAGCTGCAGGGCTGAAAATTTGGAAACTTGATCCAAATGTGTGTGCGGGCCGCAACCTCCAAAATGGGCGCTCTTACTCGCATGGTACTACGTACGGGTCCGCCAAACTTTTTTTCGAGTAAGCTGCCAACTGAGAAATCTGAGAAGCTAGAAAACTGGAATTTTAGGAAGATGTTCCCCGCCCAATTAGGTATTAATGAGTTTAAACCCAGCCCCCGAGTATGCGCGGCACCCACATACGGGTCCGTGAAAGTTTTCGGGTAAGCTGCTATCACGGGAACCTGAAAAGCTAGAAAATTGGAATTTTAAGGGGATCTTTCACGTCCAAGTGGTTATTAATGAGTTTACACCCAGTCAATGCATTGCTCCTTTCTATGTACGGGTCCATGAAAGTTTTTTGCGGGCAATTTGCTAACTCGGAAACCAGGAAAGCTAGAAAGCTGAAATTTTAAACGGATGTTTTCAGACAGCCCTGGCGGCCAGACTCATTTCATTTAGCTAAAAGCATTTGCAGGAAGAACCGGTGACGTTTGCGGCAAAAACCTACGGGGAATTATGCAAAAAACGCATCTTCGCACCGGCAGTCATTGTTGGCCAATTATTTTTTCACTCGTTTTTTCGCTGAATTTCAGTGAAATTAGCCGACGGCTTTGTTTCTTTGCGAAGAAGTTGCAGTTTTTTTTTAAATCCTTAAAATTAATAGCTGTAAAATCGATCACCATAAAAATTATACTAATAAAGTGCATCACAAAGGACCATCGGATTGCGGCGGTCGCTGCGGCGGCAGCAGCTCTTTTGGCTCGATAATCTCTCGGTCTTTACTCTCGGCCTCGGCAGTCTTCTTCATGTGTTCCTCACGCACAGCCTTTTCACCTTCCGCATCGGATGAAATACTATGTGTTGTTGAATGTGTTGACGTCATATCAGCATCCCAATCAAAATGCGATTTCAGCCGTAATTTTGCTTCCCTTTTAATCTAAAATGATAGTCGAACTGCCACTGTGGCTAATTGGTTTTGAGAATGGATAACTGCTGCATTTGTTACAAGTTTGCCAGAACTGTCTCATATCCAAAATCTGTCAAAGAGATAATTTTTTTCATGAACCATTATTCACTGGATTATACCAGTTCTGTACCTCTTCTGCATGAAACCGCAATTTGTGCAGCAAGAAAATGCATCGCTTTTTCGTTTATTTATAATGGTAACATTGCCCACTTGTTGAAAGTCAAACTCCAACCGTGCCAGTGGATCTTTCAACGATTCTTTCGTTCGTTTTTTTGGGCTGTACTGGCACACACCAATAAATCAAAACCACCATAAGCTTGTTTCTAAGCTAGCTTTCAAAACCGGTAGCCTCGCCAG